CTCTCACTCCTGCGGGGTCGGCGGCTTGAGCCGGGGGCTATTTAAGACTCGAACCTATCAAAAAAAAAACCTCAGCTGGTTTCAATCTATGAGTCGCACCTTGTTGCCGGTACAAGCGGTGCCGCGTCTAGTCACATCAGAAATAGCAAAGCGGCATGTGCACATGGTCCGGATGTGGGTTTCCAACTCATTATGTAACGATGAATGAAATGGCCGCGTGCCGCACTCACATCATCTCGTTTCATCACACCGACAATTACGGAACCCCACGCGCCCATGGCTCGGATCTGGATTTCAACACGTACAACGACATGAGGGCATGTGGAGCTGCTCCTGCCGAGCCGCTGACTTGTCACGATATAATCGATACAGATAGTCTCAGCTTGTGTATTTTGCAGTGATTTTCCGGCTCTAACTTGTGGGCTAATACTTAGGCCTGCGCGACGCCCGCACGAGCTTGCGCGAGCAGTTATCACAGTAGTGGATTGTATAGGTTGGCAATAAGTTTCCGCAAGCTGCTGCTTGAATTCGCGAGCGCTTGGACCGGGCCCGTGCCTGACTCGACAGTGCTTGAAGGCTTCAATTGCGTGTGCTCGAAGTGCTCGCCACTGCTTGAACCGCCAGCTGAAATTGTACTTCATGAATCTTGCTGCAACTCTGAGACTGCAGACGTAGGATTCGCCCGTCAAAGCGGAAAAATCGCCACTTCCACAGTCCAATGTGGTGGCCTTGCAAAACTGGAGATACCAGAACACGAGAAACGATCAGCTGCTTGCACGAGCGGCTCTGCAAGGGAATGGCTCAGGAAGTTGCTTTTCTTTCGCAGCCATCCTTCCAGCAGGTCATGGCATTCTGTCATCCGCCGCCTGCTATTCGTGCTGTCGTTTCACTAGGTTGTACTGTGGCTGAGTTGCGTGTAACGAAGACAGGAAGACCCTTTGAGGGATTGGTCGGAACTGTTTCGACTCCGGCCCGCATCGATGCTTCATTGAGGATGTGCTTTTTGGTATGTAAAGGCTAGATCTCATGGGCTCAGGAACTCTTCGTAAAAGGATCATCTGCCACATGTTGCAGCATCTGTGGCTGCTTCCACGTGCTCCTCTGGGCCAGAAGCTTCAGACTTCAGACCCACTCTCATAATATGTTGCAAGCAGCGCTACTCCGGAACTAGAAACATCGCAGCACTTTGACACGACCGCCACGAACGGCAGCTCGTCTGCAGCCATCTGCCGACACTTGTCATCCGAAATGTGGCCGGCAACCTCCTCCTTCTCTTAGCTGCTCTTGGCCGTCGCGGGCAACCTCGTCTTGTAATCGTGCACCCTTCTTCGCCTTCACCTTGTGGCCCTGAAGCGGCACCACGCTCATGCACGCTCAGTATGACTGCCACTTCCGCCAGCAGTTCGAACAGTACCTCTGAACACGTCGGGCCCAGTCCCACGTATGAACAGCATCCACCTACCTTTCGCGCGTTGTCTGAGAGAAACTCAGCACCGGGCCATTTGCCCCGTGCCTCTGCACAGCTAGGATTCGGACGGCAAGTGTCTTGCAAATCCTGGGCCAGGCACGCTCCAACCTTCCAGCCGTTGCCGACCGCACCTCATCGAACGGTCTAGTTTACGATAGAAAGAGTGATGCTCGGCCGACATGAACATGCTCCAAAGCAGAAAGCGCACGCAACCAACATGTACACAGCTTTGGGCTTCAGCTCATGGTAGGTGACAACGCTTCAAGTACCCACTGCCGCCATCATCCGTGCTGCGGTTCCGTCATACACCCAGACCAAACTTCCCCAAAAGAGATTCCAGTGTCTTGCAAGGGGGCGATCAGATGCTTCCATTTTGAGGCTTCGGTTTCTGGGCAGAGATACGGAACGAGCTGTGCCTCCTAACTCCGAGAGTCGAGTGGAACGAGCTGGGCAGCACTTCTTTTAGACCGTCTCTCGCAAGGCTCAACGAATCGTTGGAAACCACTTCTTTACCTTTATGCTCCTAGACGATCTTACAGTTGGCATAACAGTCATAACCATCGAAACTAGTCAGTGGCACCCTACACGACGGCATGAAAACGAGGACGGTGAGCTCGCAAGGTCCTCGAGGAAGGTTGGCTCAAGAAGAGGAAGTCAATGCGGCAGCTAACACTTTTGCAGGGGATTGTCGTTTCTTGAATCCTCGGTGCTGAGCCCAATTTCGCCCAGCTGAATGTCTGTCATCTGGGGCTGCAGCTCTGCGCATGTCTGGAATCCGCTGTCTTCCACCGCCACTGTCAGCGGCACCCAGCCTGTCGAACACCAGCTGCTCTTAATCCAATAGCCCACCTTGTCATTCGCCCAGAAGCCTGGTGCGAAGGGCTTCGGCGCATCCGCAAAAACCTCCTTCACCGGCCTCTCAGGAGGGGAAGAGGCCAGGATTCGAAAAGCCAGCTCCCACCTGAACGGCTGCTGGTGACCTTCCGACTTTCGAGCTGCAAAGACGCATCCGATTTTCGTCCCACAACTTGAGGCCTTCATCGCCATCCTTTCGCAGAAAGGGTCGGATTTCCAGATCTGGCCTCGGGTGGCAGCCCCCACGCCCTGAAGCCTGAGGGCAAACTCCGGGAGTCCACGCGGAAGCATCTGGTGCTCCCACCTTGGCTGAAGACCCCAAATTGGCTTAACGCTGAAGGATTGTAAACAACCCATTGCGACGGTCGAGGCCCTTCACGCCCTTTCATGTGAATGTCGAAGGCCTACCAGATCATGAGACGAACGACAGTGTAGCTGAGGCCCCTGCCACTGCTGCATCTGCCAGTTGCTGAATGGCCCGCGGCCTTCAGAAGTCACAGGCTGCACACAGATCAGACTCGACAGAATGCTGGATCCTTCCAGGAAAGCTGAGCCGTGAGCAAACCGACTTGGGGTCCAAATACTCCCAGCAGCCGCAACCTGTCTGCATTGAAATTGGAGAAACGGGACTGTCAGGAGCAATTTCAGTCGTGCTCGCTGCCTTCGAGTGCTGCGACAGACACGGCCATAGAGTGCAACTTGCACGCAACTAAGCCAGGGGCTGCCTGCCTCTGCCGCAGTTCCACCTTCAGCAACCAAGTTTTGGATGCTCCATATTCCCCCGCCAGGTCTTGCTCGGGCTTCGTGCTTTCCTCCGCCTTTGAGATGGCAGACCTGCCAAGACATGTCGGTGATCCCAATGCTGTTGAAAATGTTGCCAACCAGATACTGGCCTCCAGTCCCATACGCGGAGGACTTCAGAATTTCTGGTGTTGTTCCGGCTAGTACCGTTCCTGGTGACGACGTCGCACTCACAGATGCTTGGTTGCGTCAGACATTATGCTTGTGAGATAGCCTTGCGATGCAAGATCCTCCGGAACTCAGGGAGCTACCACTCTGCAATGAAAATGGATAGCCCGTTGGTACCTGACTCATATGGCTGCACAATTCCCACTGCGTGGCATGGACCGGCCAAATCTAGAAGTTTCTGAAGCCAAGCCCGTCACGTGTCCGGAACTTCTTCCTTGGCGAGACAAGCAGCCCTTCAGTTGAGTCAGACTTAGCCCTGACCGAAGACGAAAGCATGGCACAAGCATGCCAGAATCACACATGCTGTGCAACCTCCCAGCGATTTGTGATCTCTTCCACAGTGATCTTGCAAGTCCTTCCGGCAACTAGCTGATGCCATGCACGGTTCTTGCAGGGGTCCAGCCAGACCAAGCAGTTCCTGGGATACTGGGCGACGGCCGCTCGCTGCAGCGCATAGAGGCGTCGGTTGTCCATCGTGAAGAGGCCCTCTGAGCAAAGCGGACTTTTCCACAAAAACTTTGGTGTCACCCTCTGAAGCCTCAACCCCCCGTCGCTCTTCACCCTTCTCATCGAGGACAGGCTTTCCTTCACCATCCTCTAGAGCGGAGCACTGAGTTGTAAGAGTAAGACAATTGATTCTGCGAGCCCGGCCCGCAACTTTGGGCACCAGCGGACCGCCTTTGCCAAGCGGTGGGCTGAGAAGCTTACCATAATGCAAGTTCCGCTGGATGGCCTGAATGCGAGGAAACGGTGCTTCCAGCCAAACATCCTGCACTTCTCAGGAAGTCACGAAGTGCATCTGTCACAGAAACGACTAGCAGTCTGCGGCCTCATCAGCTTCAGACTGGACTGCCTCAATTTCCCTGCGAGCTGACAGGTTCAGGGCCAGGCAACAAAGGATTCACAGCGCTGAGACTTTCAGAGCTTCCCCTCACCAGCAGAGCCACGTGTCCTGCTCCCTATGCCACTGCAACTTTCTTGAACATGACCCGCAAGGCGGTCTGAAGTCTGAAAGCTGCACCATTTGTGGATCTATACGTGTCGCTATGTCAGCAGATCTGTGACGATGTGAACCAGTCGAGCAGAGACAAAGCAAACCAATCCAGTTTCCCATGGGGCCTGACTGCATCATCCACCGAGTGGCCATCCGAGAACAACGGGTAGATCACGTGCTGCGAAAAATGGACCTGCATGGCAAGCATCAGCTGAAACCCGTTCGAATCTAGTGTCCACTTGCACCTCCAGTGGTGACACCGGAACTTCTTGGACTCTTGGTGGTCCTCCACAAACGCTTCATCTGCATCCACATCGACTTCCTCTAAACAAAGTATCTGGAGAACAGGATCAGGCTCGAAATTCATAGCCTCTACACCCAGCTCCAAACCCTGGCGCAGCTTGGTGCTATTTCCGCAACGCAGCATTTGGGAAGCTGTGCCCCGCCCTGGCGCTTCGGCGGCTTACGTGCTGAATGGGCTTTGTCCGACAGCCATATTGGCCGCTGTTCTGGCCCCCAGCTCAAATTTCAGTCGGTAACCGCAATCGGAAACCGCAAGCAAGGCAGTCAAGGGACACCTTCGGTAGTGTCGTCCTGCCGAGACCCTCTGCTGCCGTCAGCCAACTCGAGGTGATCGTCTTGAGGAGCACTCGCTTCCGCCTGATCTCTTCGATCTTTGGGTGTCTTGGCTTCCTTGGGATCTTTGTCCCGCGAAGTCATTGCAGGTCGACTCTTGGCAGCTTTCTTTTTTGGCTTCTTGCGCTTGCCCTTAGGATCTTCGGCATCTGACATCTCTGGTGGAACGTTAGAGCTTGCAGCAGTAGAGTCCTCAACCGGATCACGGCGAGATGCTTTGCGCATCAAATTGCGGGCGGATTTGTCCTTCGCGTCCTTTTGACGTCTCTCGTCGTCCATGTTGACATCCTCCGAGTCAATTTTGGCACGTCCATCGCCTCTGGCTGGTTTCTTCTTCTTTTGGGGCTTCTCCCGTTGCTTTACGGCCTTGCGTGCTGCCCGCTTCTTGCGACGCAGGGCAGCGGCCCCATCATCTTCAGAATCAGAAACATCGTCGGAATTGCCGTCATCTGGGAACAGAACCTGCAGCTCCTTGCAAACCAGCATAACTTTTCCTTGGTCAGGGTCACAGAAATCCAGAATTGCATCGCAGAGCATGTAACCCATCTCCTCCAGGGCGGTGCATTTTGGGTGAGCATTGGTCTTCGTTCACTAAACCAAGACTGCCCAAGACTTGAAGACCTCGTGGGGGATCTGAGTCTCAGACTTCATGCGGGACACTGATACTGTTCGGAGTGAGAGTTAAACAAACATAAAACAAAAGTGAGGAGATCATTACTTCATATGAATCAAGAATATGAGGGTGCACGGTGCACCTCATGCTCGTGGAATCCACGCCAAAGCATTGCAAAAACTCTGCGCATAACATCTCAATTAAGTTCTGGAGGGTAGGACGCATTACAGGCTTATTTTTACACGTGAACAGCGTGCTAACCATTGTAGATTTTCCCACCTCAGACTCAATTCTTCTACATGTTTTGTCCCTGAGAGGACAGCTAGAAGTGTTTGCTTTCATGGAGTCGAATCTCTCGCTCAGGAGCTTTCGTGGTTACGCGCAACGGTATGTACTATTGTTCACATGCAAAGGCATGCTGTCGTTGCTAGACCCAGTACAAAGGAAGCCATACTCAGTCCTCCAAATGCCGGGTTGTGAAGTGCTGCTCACCCAGCGGGCCGAAGTCCGCACCACAGAAAGACGCTTCCAGAGTGTAGGAATTCACCACTCCCAGCTCTCGGTAGGCAACGACTCGAGCTGTGGACTCCTTACTCTTCTGGATCTTGAAGCAGCAGTCATCGAAGCTGAAACAGTCGGAGCTCCGGCAAAGCAGACCGGGGAAGATCTTCTCCCGTAGCCCATTGTTCTCGCTGTTTCCGTACATGAAGACATTCTTCTTACGGCTGTGTCCGTGGATGTCTACGTACAGAATTACATCTCGATCATCAAGCAGGTGACGAAACATGCTTTTCGTAAAGAAGATTGTGGGATGCATCTTGCGGCTTGGCTCGTCCCACAAACGGTTCAGGTCCTGACCGGCCAAGGAGCACCGGTAGTTGCCTACTATCACACCATCCGGGTTCAGCATAGGGACAATCTTGAAGACAAAATTGTCTCGCAGAATTCTTGCATCCACAGATGCCCCAGTTAGGTAGTCGAGGATGCCTTTCATGACCCAGGAAGCGTTCGATTCTCCGGGATGTACACGGGCAGTAATGACCACAGCCCGCCTAGCCTTCAGTGCGGCTGGATCTCCGCAGAAAGAGGTGATCGTTATCAAATCACAGGCATTGCCCGCGAGAGTGTCGCACAACTTCCTGCGCCGAAACCGTCGCACCATGTTCGGATCCTTCTCCAGGGCCCTCAGGTCAAGTTGAAGGTCAGTGTATGTATATGGATAACAGTGAGAGAAGTACACTTCATCGCAGTCGTGCTCGAAGGTCACTGTAAATGTAAGAGTGTAGTAGTTGGCACCTTTCTGTCGACGCAGTCCATTTTGATAGTACGCTATCCTGTCACCGCAGCGAGCCCATCCAATGCCCTTGGTAGCTGCATCAATGGAGGAATAGCGAAGCGGTCGCATACCCTCGTTGTAAACTGATGTTGGCTTGACCATGTTGAGAATGTTGAACTTGTACTCGGGCCCTCTGCGCGTGTTTCCAACACGAAAGAAATACCATTGCGTGTGCGACTTGGTGTTGTAGTCTGGATTCAGAATTAGGTCGTACCTCATTTGAGCACTTTGCTTCCACTTCCGCAAATGCATCTCCCACGCTTTGTGCTGCCAAAGCACTCAAACTCATAGGCCTGCACGGCGCGGCGGAGGTTGCCGCTTTCAAAGCGGCTCTCGAAGATCAATGTGCGGTCATCGGGTCCTGGCAGGCGACAGGTCACAGGCTGTAGTCGCCCTCGAATTGGCGACGCGCAAACGCACGCGCACCCACACACACACACACACACACACACGCGCACGCACGCACGCACGCACAAGAGGTTGTCCTATGGGCGTGTAGTATGGCGTGACGAAGCTCAATGCCGGCGCCGAGACATGGCCCGGCCCCAACAGATCCTGCCGAGGTGCTAGCACTGTGGGGATACAGTTCTGATTCCAGAGGTGGGGAACACCACGAAGTATCATCGACCACTTGGTTGAGGAAATTTCGGCCATGAGGCACTTCAGCCCCTTGCTAGCAAAAGCAGTAGCCACACTCAGCCACACAGCAGCTACGTGCATGACTTGCCATGCCAAGCCTGCATAAGAGGGCCTGGAGGGGAGACTGCTGGCACGAAGGAACTCGGCTCGATCTGGTTCGGATCACCCACGCTGTCGTAAACGATACGATTCCGCACATTCTCCGGGCGAGAAATCCTGTCAGCCTCAGACTTGACGATGTCGTCGAAAAGGCTCTCGGGGGCGATGTACAACAGCTCTGCCTCTTCGGGCACCGCTCTGATAAATGTGGGCGTGGCAGCCATCATCGGGATTGCGATTCCGGTCTTCGGGGGCAGATTCTGGTCTGGATAGGTGTCTTGGAAAAAGCACTGGAGTGGTGAGGCTGCTTCATCATGCACGTCCGGGCCATCGACAGGTGCGGCTGTGACAGTCGGAGAGGCTTCGACCGTGACCTGTTCGCCTTCTGGCCCAGGTTCCGTCTCAAGATCCACACCAGCAAGAAGAAGTATCTCATCCTCAGCTGCATTCTTCCATGCACGGTGTAAGTTGAAATCCTTTGAGATGTTACAGCATGACACCACGTTGAGACCAAGATCCTTTACACCAACCTCTTCCTGATCAACGTCATCTGGATCTTCGAAAGCATCCATGTCCTCCGCCTCCTGCAGAGAATGTGGCCTCTCTTTCCCTCTCTCGCAGGGATTCAGCTCTCTCGCAGGGATTCAGCAGCAAAACCATGCTTTTGCTGTAAGGCTTGTAGTGGAACGCGGAGTCGCTGGATGCTCGGCCCTGCTTTGCAAGATGTGTGAGGAAACAGCCGCAATTTTCTACCAAACGCGACGAGCTTGATTCCACGTTTCCTACTTCTTGACTTGCGCACATAAACCCCTACACAAGCATTGGGCAGGATACCACCATGTAAAGCGGATGTTCACAGCAGCTTGTCGGTTGGCCAGGGCTTGGTTCGGCAGGTGTAGGAGTTCATGAAATGCGGTCCGTACGACTTTTGCGAGCATTAACTGATCATTTACTTGCTCTGTACTCGCCCTAGAAACGCTGGAAATTAGAAACCCTAAGATCCCAAGCGTGGCACATCAAAAGGCAAGCAGAACAACTGTAAGACAATACTGAAAGCGGGTCCTATAACATGCTGAACAAACGGCACACAATAAGCCCCGAATTCTTCCGCAGACACACCTCTGTTAAGCCCCAGATACCTCGTCCATCTGATCGTCACTTTTCAATGAATCTTCAGTGCCAGCTTCAGGATCGGACATCTCGCCGTCGCCGTCCTTACAGCGGCGCTTGTCACAGCGAAGCTCTCTCCTGGGACTAGGCACTGCAGACAAAGCTCCGAGTCTTCTGCATTTGGCGGTTCTGGAACCGCAACACATGCTGCGCCAAAGGCTTCTCCGCCAACCCCAGCCTCGACACCTGCAGATGTTCTATCCACCAGTTCTGTTTGATACCCACCATTAGCATCAGCTGGCATCGTCACAGGAAAGGAGATTGCCGAGCTTGTGTCAAATGTCCATCACAGGAGAGCACCGCTGCAGCAACTCAGCTGGTCGATTGCTGCGGCACGATGGCACGCACGTCGCCATTGCAAGTGTTGTGATGCTACCGGGTGTTGGCCTATGTACTCGCGCGTGAGCTACGCACTATCCGTGGTCAGATCTATGTACACCAGACAGTTGCCAAAGATCGACACAGCAAACGACCTGAGCCAAAACAAAAAGTCCACTGGTTGGTCCTGTAACACAATTTATGCCTGAATCTGCAGAAATCAAAGCATCGCCAGCACCTTGCAGAAGATGTCGAGTTGCGCTGTCAGCAACGATAACCTTTCCAGTTAGTCACAGCGCACATAGCCAATTAAGCAAAATTTGGGTCGGTCCTCGATGTTCGGCATTGGCCACCGACACCATGAATGATCCCGTCTGCCAACCGACGCTCTATCGTCAGCAGTGCTGCCAGCTTGTGTTGCGAAAGGGGCTTGGTCAAATAAACCGATGACCACTCGCTGGGTGAACCTGATTGCATTGAAGCACGCTTTGGCCCTTGAGCGCCAAACTCTAGGCCCTAAGCCCTGAAATGGACAAGTCCGGAAGCGCCTTCACCCAAAAACTGTGACGGCAAACCTTCAAACTCTGAACTCTAAGAGACACCGGAATGCTGTCGCTACGGAGACCCGGGTGGCAAACCCTGAAAACCAGGAATCCTCGAACACGGAAGGGATTTGTGGGAGGCTCTTCGACCCCAACAGGAGATGTCCCTTGGCAAACCGCGACGGACTCGTCGAACTTTCTGGTTCTCTACTACAGGAACACGGAGCCCCATCCTTTAGTATTTCATCATCTGGCATATTGTGAGTCGGGTCGTACTACCTCTCGGGTGTAGCATCATGCTGTTGGGTCTGAGTATTGATGTGCTCAGGTTTGAACCGAAAGTCTAGCAGAGATGGAATCAGGAAGCAGCACTCAGTAGCTCCATCACTACGTTTTCGGGTTCCCGTGCAGTCCACTATCCAATACTGAAGCGGCTCCGAGCAGTGCTGGCATCGGCGTTGGTAAAGGAGAGCCAAGCTTAGATGTGCCGGGCACACGAAGACTCATTCATGTAAATGTTCTTGCTAACATCACATGCATGCGGCGACTCCACGAATTCTCCCCTCACTCCCCTAAATTTGGCAGCTGTCAACGCTATGCTCCGGCCTTTTTCGTGTCGGCGAGGCATCAAGCTATGTCTTCCGTCTACGCTTGCCGTAGAATCTCGACAACGCTGCACCGACACCTTAGGTGGCTGGGACATACTCCAGGAACTGAGGGCAGAATAAGGGATTCTGTTTGCGAGGATCAGACCCGGAGGTGCTGCTTTGCCAGACTGCCAATCACACAGCTTCTGCATTTGGACAAAGGTGCGCAACAAGCCACAACCACAGAACAGATCTGCCTCTGGCTTGCTTGGGGCAGCACCTGAGGCGACGTTGATCCACGACTAGTTCCGCTTTTGAGGCTGGGCATGTTTCGGCTGTTTTGCACAAACCGGTTCCCATCTGCCGGAGAGGTTTTCGAGGCTTCATGCCGGCGACCTTTAAGGAAGCACGAGACAATACGGCAAGCCTCTTCTTTTGATAGGGCAGAAGCTCCAGGATCCGAAAGTCTGCATGAACGTGCCGCAGCAGTTTCTCGCTGTCAAAAAGCCTTTTCGTTGGGAATTCCCGATGTGCACTATCTGTGACGGAATGTAAGCACTTCGCTGCGGCCTCGGCTGTCGCATGCCACTGCAGTCTTCCCATTCAATGCAAGCCACGGAATACTTCCGCGCTTTCTTGCCCCTGCATGTTCACTGAATCTCACGCAGATGGGCTGGATTCTGCCCTGTCGATTCCCACCAGGCGCGAGGATCGGAAGCAGACATTGAATCAAAATCGTAAGTCGCCAGCAGAAACTCGTCAAAGTGAAAATGGGAAGAGGAAAGCCTTAGGGCCTACCTGGAGTGATGGCCCCTGACCACTGCATAGAAACTCACGGCCCAAAAGATCCATCATCCAAACTCCAACAGGATGATGCAACCGTACGGCCTGAGCGCTCAAAGTAGTGAAAATTGGCAAACGCAAAACTGACATGAGTGCTGCCGCAAACCGCCAGGCTCCAAATGGTTTGCTGCACTTCCAATGTCCGTACAAAAAACGCAACGAGTGCACCCACAGTGCCCTACTAAGCCGGAAACCCTACAAGGTGCTCCTAAAGCACGCTTAGGGATGGCCGGAGGCAAACATTCATGGAGGAACAGCTTTTGATGGATAAGAACCATCAGGCGATCAGACAACAAAATGCCCATGTGGGCACTTAGTAGTTCTTGATGTCCGGGCACTTACGTGTCCAGTGCGACACTTGCACACCACACGAGGAGGCGATGCATCCCAGACCCGGAAATGTGAAGAGCGAAGTTGTTGATTTCGGACTGCTCGATTGTGCAGAAGGAAGTCAAGGCTTGTTCCTTGGAGCTGCTCACCCTTTAAGGAAAATCCTCTCAGCCACTCTTGAAGTCGCGCTTACGCATGGCCTTTCCGCAGGCGCTCCTTGCGACGTTCAAGTGCTCTTGGAGCGTCAGCACGCAACCAAGCCAAACCCTATCCTACCCAAAGCTGCCCGGAGAGATGCCTTGCAAGCCCAGCGCGGCATGTTGAACAATGCTCGACAACCCCGAAACTCCGATAAGTCTGGCGGAGCACCTCCACCATCCTCAGCTTCACCCTCGCTGTCATCCTCTTCATCTGTTTCGCCACCAGAGCCTCCCTGCAAACGTCAGGCTTTCAGAAACGACTCTGACATGAGCCTCAGAGACAGAGCTGGCCTCACCATTCTGCGTGCGATCCCTGGCCTTCTGCCTGACGGTTCGATGCCAGCCGAAGGAGACAGCGGTTTGGATTCAACAACTCGATGCCTCTGTTCTGCAACTTGCTTCAGAGCTTTTCTCTTCATTCGATTGCCCACCTGCTGACTACAGCGGAGGGAAAAGCTCACTGATAAAACTGCAAGTCGTGGCAGCACCTTGTTCTTTCCTCGTGCCTTTTTAGCTGGCTTTTTGCTTTTGTCAGCCTCGCCAGACGATCAGCCGCAAATCGATCACTGCATACCACGGGCTCCTATACCACAGCCGGTCTGACGATGTTCAACAAAGTCAGGATGGTCAGGCCGGGGAAAAGGTCATAGCTGCAGTAGCTTCTCAAATCGGAAATCCCCTCATAATTTTGCAACATTGTTGCTAAGGTTGCTAAGGTACACAGATTCGATCTGCATTGCGTTCGTGTTACCTCGGCAGCTTCTGCAGCTTCTTTCTTCGCCGACTCCTCTTTCCAAGCCTGCAGGGTACTGAGAAAGCACTTTCAAGGCACACAGCATTCCTGAAATTCGGCCTTGACCACGCCCTGGTTGAGCTCACCGATTCTGTCCGGGTTGAGCCTCGGGGCTGTCACCGGCCGACTGATAAGCAATTCGGCGGCCAAGGAAGCCTTCCATGGCAGAGTTGATTCACGCGGGACCGTTAATTGGCATCTGCGATTTCCAGCACAAGACGAAGCATGAAGCTGGGTCATGTCTCCAAAGGACTTGAAGAAGCCGGGAATGAGTGCTGGCACAAATGTAGCGGCAGCTTATCAGGCAAACGAGGCCAAGAATGCAAAATGATATTCTTGGTCTATGCGAAAAGGAGCAGCCCGACCGCCCGCCCGCCTGCACCCTTTAGCAAAACGTCACACTTCGCTGAGACGGTGGCATGATAGAATCCGGCTGCAGTTTATCCAGCAATGAGTTTACCTGGAAATTGACGGCTTGGTGCATGCTACCCATGCAGCTGTCGGATCAAAGAAGGTCCGCAACCGCTACAGCCGTGCCAAAAGCATCGCGAAAGTCTGCTGGCTGTGGGCCTCTCGCTCTCGTCGCTGGGACTTGGTTTCGTAAGGGTTCGCCTGGCGTAAGCAGAGAGGTCCCACAGCCCGAGCATCGCCGGAGCCGCGCCTCGAAGGAATCGAAATTGGCTTTGCCCGCACCCGGCACAATCAGACCTTCGGAAGGGCCCAGGAATTGGGAGTTGCTGGTCTCAAATCAAAGGATGTTAAGCATCCAGCTTCCAAAGCCATCAGAATGCCCGACACAGCAAACATCCTGCCAGCCGGGATTTAGCGAATTTAGCCATTTAGCGGTCAAACAACAGAACGCTCACTCTGTCCTCGAATGGTCTGAAACGCACGGATTCGATCATCCGCCCTTTGTACCTCTTGGTGGGTTATGTTGTTGCTCTTGCGGTAGGATAGGAGCTTTCGTTGTTGGCACGTGTTTGCTGTGATGTTGCGCTCGAGTGCCTTCTCGTCGCATTGAACAGACAAGGTTCGCCTCAAGGTGAAGTAACATCTCGTGCACGGTAGAGATGGGCGCACTCTTCGGTGATGTATGGCCTCACCCGGGGGACAAACAAAGCAGTCTTTAGCGCATTACTTGTAAGGATCTGTGCGGACTCTGGACCTGCCTCGGCTGCCTCGCCGATGTTGCATCCTTCCAAACCTGGAAGGGCATGGCAAGGCCGAGGCGAGGGGATGCCAGGGCTGCAAAACTGACGGGATCTTGGTTGGCCTTCCTGTCGGCTCTTGTGTGCCCTTTGAGTCGCCTCCATGTTTTGAAGAGGCCTGCTTCTTCTGTGGCTCCTTTGCGTCCCACATTGACGAACCAGATTCCTTGCGAGCTTCTTCCTCTTATTTGATGGATCCTGCCTCGAGCTGGCCTTCACGTGTAGGTCGTGCCGGTGTTGCTGGCTACGGTTGACATTCACGGTCTTCTGAACCACCATCACATCGTGCCGGCGGCCAGTCTTGTTACAACGAAGAACAAGGCTGAAATGTCAAACAAGGGAGGCTGGATGCATGTCGCGCAAGGCGGCGGCCTCAAAGCGACATCCAGCACCGGTTGCCACCAGACCCGTCATGGACCTCAAGGAGGTTTCCGTAGCTGGGTGTGTCACAGTGCGAGGCCCGACCCTAAGCAACTGACACATCTATGCTGTTGACAGCATGGCCACGAGTCCTCTGGGTCTCATGCTCGAAAGTGCGCAAAACTAGGTGTTCACAGATGCAGCCTGTAGCAGTGCAGTTCTGCATACGTCCGGAGGTCCCACACCTTCAGTAAGATGAAAGGTTGCAATCTCAACGCTTTACAAAGAAACCGGACCGTCATCCATGCCAGATCGATTCTCTGACACATTTCGGAACTTCCATTGCACACATGTCACAGCCGAAAGCCGAAAGCAACACTGCAGAACACGACTGAGATGTCCCTTGTGCCTTCCACTTCGACTCTGCTCCTGCAGTGACCTGGGAGGGATTGACAATCTTCCCCACAGAACAACGATTCTAGAACCACAGCTGGCGATTCACCACCAAAACCAAAAACCTCAACATAGTCACACGTGACAACAAAAGTTGACAGGCTCCAGGTCCAAGCGCACGACCATGTAGTTGCCAGCGACAGCAATGGCGTTCACCTTCGGTCAGGAAGACAGCGCTTCCCGCAGCCGCTGTTGCTTCCTTCTCTGCCTTCGCATTATGGCACGCCATCTTGACGACCGGCTCCTTGACGGTCCTGAAACTTCACAAACCCAAGACATCTTGGGCGACATGAAAATTGTTTTCCTTTGAGAACCTGACGGCGTCCACAATGTCACCACACCCTGCACGAGATTGCAAGCACCATCACAATTGCTCGAGCTATGCTCAGTTTACAGCCCACAGTGCCGCCTTGTTGTGCCCAAGATGCATGACAGCATTCGTGGGATTTTGCCGCATACACCTAGCCAGGATGTGCAGTGCAACTGCCTCGGTCTCGAAGTGATTCTGCCCTCAAGCTCCAAACGTAGTGGGCCCCAATTTCGTCTTGTGCTCCGCAACCTGTTCGGGCACAGCGGCGCTGTTAGTCAAGCGTTGTTTCAAGCAAGGCCTGCTCTCCATATGAGATATCTCGCCAGGCGATCTCTCCGCGTTCACCTGCAGGCGACTCAGGCTGATAATGTCAACATTTTGGGAACGTTCACGGACCTGCACTGACGAGTAGAAAATGATAGGGCAGAAAATCAAGATGCATCGGCGACCTTGCTAGGCGTCGGTGAAAGGAGTCCAACTGCAAAGCTCCGCTCAGGCCCGAGCTTCTGTTGCTTTATGCAGTGCAGCCTCGAGATGGAGCGCCAAAGCAACTTAGAATCTCTTCAGGTGCCAGTGCACGGCTCTATTCCCTGCTTGTCGTAGATGAAGATGTATTTCCTGTAACGCAACATCAAGAGTCAGAGTCAGAGCCGCATACGTCCAGGCTGCATCTTGAACAGAAGTCGAAAAAGCATCTTTTCTCTTCGGCGCTAAATCAACAGATTTTGTTGATTGGAAGAGGGGCGCGGCTCGGGCTTCAGCCGGAGAGCCTGGGATCAGCAGAATTTCCCTGGATCGACTCTTGGATTTGTCAGCCTTATGCAGCGTTGCGGTGGCCACCAAGAAGCTGCTGTTGTTTTGCACTTGCGATCGCAGCTTTGCGCATCCACTCCATGTTCGTCCGATCAATCCAACCTGCGGGAATTCCCAAGGCGGCGCTTGACATATCTTCACCGCAGGGGTCGACTCCCTGCTTAGCGCCGTGCTTTGCACCATTTCTTCGGTGTAGGGATAAGGCCTGAGTGGTACGAAGTCAAGGCTGGTTTTTCGGAAGCCTCCCTGAGGCACCCACGGCTCTGGCTTGCTATCATCGATCATGCCGTCCTTCTTCCACTGACGGATATATGCCTGCAAGATTACCAACGCAGAGTCTTGCAAGGTTGGGCCAAGCATGGAGAGAGACTCTTGCGAACTTGCGAGACCACCGCATGCCTGCCATTCATTTCTGCACTCGCTCAGGTAGTGCTTCAGAGGATGTCGGCTCTGTTGCTTGATGTGCTTCTGCCTGCGACTGTAGTACTCATTGAAAACATGCTTGGCTTACTGAGATCTGCTGAGATTGGTAAGGTCCCTACGCTCCAGCGACAGCGAGCTCGGCACCCAACATTGGGACCATGTTCATGGCCGTGAAAGTTGGCATCAAATGTCGCGCGCCAGGCACATAAGCAGGCTGTTCAGGACTTGGCCGCAGCTTTGGAAGCATTCCCCGAACGATCTCGAAGTCTGCTGGATAATCCACGAACCATCTGAAGATTCGGACCTTTGCAACACGCTGATCCTTGCTTCATGGCTCTGACTGCCAGGATACTCACACTTGCTGTAGGGCAAGAAGCCGAGCTGACAAAGGAGGGTCCGGAGCTGAAACTGCCAAAGTTCTGAGCTTCGACAAACATGCCTCGGGCAGTGCATGGTCCAACAGGGAAAACTAGTCACACATGCTGCATCTACGCCCCCGCATCCCAGGTCAATCCCCGACCACAGAAAGGTTCCCCACGGCAGACAGCCCCCGAATACGAGCTAGACTGCCGCGACAGAGCGGAAGATGCAAGAACTAAAGATTTTCTGCTGCATGGCATAGTCGGAAAACTCGTTTGTGCCAAAACTATGGAGGGTTCTGCCAGCTGCGCATGATCGACATCCAACCTCTCTTTCAGCAATAAAATTTGCTCAGCTCCCGGTGGATGAGCCGTTGATGTCTCGTGTATTTACGTTCGACACTTCAGATCAAAAGCAACGGGTGAAAACAAAGGCTCAGGTTTTGAGCGACCTCATGGAGTCATCAGGCTGTCGACGGACCCGATCCTTTTGTAACCGGTCTTGCACACAGATGACACACACACACACCCACCCACGCTTATCCAAGGCCGTGTGCATCGTAATCATGCAGTGTTGACTTCATGCTAGTAGAGTTGCTTCGAGAGACGGCTCTGATACCTGCATTGACAGCCTCAAACTGTGTTTTTTGCGGCACCTGGATCAGGGAGAAACCGCTCTTCTGACCAGGCAGCCCCACACGCACATACATACCGTCACGTAGCAGCTATTAAGCTGCAATTGTGGAATACCACCATCCCAGAGCTTCAAGAAACCTCGATGCTGCCTGACACAAGAAGTCAACGGCAGTTTATGTGATCATTGTCTTGGTTTCTTACCTGGCAATACCACTTTGATGTGTTCATGGTGAGGACCTCCGGGGTGAGAAACAGATTCTTGCCAGGACATTGCATGGTACAGCTGAAAACCAACCTCCTACCTGTGTGCAGTCGGAACGGCCAGACAGGCCATCATGCTGTCACGAGGAGAAGGAGGCAGAAGGGCAGCCGTCGGGATTATGAGGGTGCCGCTGTAGGCAAGGCCAGCTCACAACAACAACCTAGTGGAGCAGGAGGTTGGCCACCACCCCGTACACCAAGCCAGATGTGAGAAGGCACAGATGGAAACATCTGCAGCAAGATTCTGGTTCACAAAAGAGCACTACAACTTGCAACGACGTGCTTCGTCTCGGGCAGATATGCCTAGACCCGTGCGAAAGCCTAGCCTGCACAACAGGGATCGGGCTGTCATGCGCATTCGAAGAGGACCCACCGGCTAGTCAGCTAGTCAATAAGACTTCAACTACCCTCTAACAGACTCTAACAGGCAGAGAAACCATTGCAACATACTGGGCGAAGCGGGTCTCCGTTGACCCAAAAGCCCACCAGCTCCTCGCAAGGCTCTGCAAACCGAGCAGAAGTGCTGCCGCGAGCCAGTGTTGTATTGACAGCTCCCGTTCTGCGTCCTTCAAACCGAGCATTTTGTCTTTCTGAGGATCTGGAGTGACTCCCACCTTGACGACACGAAGCGAAACTGAGAGCACAACCAATCATAATTGAAACTATCCAAACTGGGCTATCCGGCCGCTTTGAGGATGAGCTGACACTTGATCTTCTTGCCCTTCTTGGTCTGAGCACCTGAAAGCAGACATTTCATAGATGATCTGCCGATCAAAAAGGTTTGCTGGACGTCCGGCAGGCAAGCTACAGCCATTGGTAAGTCGCTTGATTTCATCCACAAGGACCTCCATGAGGCCATAATAGCCAGCCAGGAAGTAGACATCAGTTACCTCTGACGGGCAGAAGTGAATTTCTGGGGACTGACATGTACATGCGAAACTTTCGGAAGACATTTAAGCATGTACTGACTTTTGACAGCGAAGCGACACCAAAAGCTGTTCTCTGCGTTATTTGTGCGTAGCTGCGCTTCTCGTCCGTCTTGACCTTCGCCATGCAGCTATCCGATTGTTCTCGAAGCACAGAACCGTTACAGTTACGGTACATGAAATCTGGATTAACTGAAGAAACTGAGCGGACGACGCAATGTGCAGACCAGCAATCAAAGCCTGCATCCGGGATATCACCACGAACAGCACATGCCCAACTGACAACAAGCGAATTCATCAGGTTGGAAGGGTGAACGTGCTTCAAGCAGCAAGCCTACGAGGTCGTACATCTTCTGGAAGCCCTGCGGTATGTCAGGCTTTGCAACCATCCGCCACGAGGCGACATCGAAAAGCCCAGTCCTCAAGCAAGATGGTACCAGGCACCGGGTTCTCAAGGAAGCCGACCATCCAAGACATCACCCTCATCCCGCAGAGATTTCCTGAATTCCAAAGAACAGTGCATGCACAAAGCTTGCATCCTGCAAAGCACAAGAACAATCTGATACTTCATCCAACATTAACACACCCGTGCACACTGCCTTGGTCAGGCAACTTCCAGAAAAGAGCAACAGATTGCGCCTGTCACCGTCTCACAGATCGCACAGAGTCTCACACTTCCGGGAATCCAAGGATCGCTTGCGGCACATCACGATGACTTTTTTGGCCCTGTGCTCACAGAGCGTCCGCACCTGAGTGCAGTATGCCAGGGTTTTTTTCCGGCTGAGGGCAGCAGGCGAACTGCAATTGGCTTGCCTGTCGTTTCGCTGCCGCGCCACCTGTCCTGTGAGCCTTGAAAATTCACACCAATGCCTGGGTCCTACAGTCTGAAAGCCTTAATCTCGTAATCATCGAATGTTTCAGAACAACTCGAACCTCGACAAGCATCAAAGGCCATCAGCCCTCACAACCCAAGAAGCCTCAATGGCCCTGGCCTTCAGGCCACCCTAAAAATGCCAAGCCATGCCACAGCCGAACCACAAAGGCTGCAAACCCTAGAAGGCAACCTTGACCAGAGCCAGCCCACAAGGTAGTTCTCTAAAAGCGCCAACCCAAACCATAAACCCAAGCCCCAAAAGCCACCGACAAAAACCTAAACTGCGAAATTGCACCCAGACACGCACCCTAACCCTCGCCTGAGCAATTCTTCGGAGGGTCTGAGTGCACTGTCAAACAAAAACTACGGACTGGGGCTTGTGCCACAAACTGAACAGAAACTGAATGGCGTTTCGAAACGAGCTTTTCGACTCTTTCAACGCTGAAAGACCCATCTAGGCAAGTCCTGGGAAATCTTTGGGCCTTGTTGCCCCAAGGACCTGTTTTTGGCTGCCGTACAGATTTTCGAAAGCAAAGCGACGAAACCTCTCACACTGGCAAAGAGGCATTGGGAGTTGGGCATGCAGGCCGTATTCGACGATGACGGGTTACATCGAGCTACGCCACTTCGGGTACACGCGAAAACGTCCCCTGTGTCCAAAGGATCTCCAGCATGTCTGGGGCGAGCAATGGAAGAAGCGGCGGCCCTACTCCCGCAGTACAGGATGCTGGAAGTGGAAGCTTCCTATTCTCTTGTCCGCATCCGCTCGAAACCTGAAGATTCCTGCGCTCTTTGCTCAAACTTTCCTGGACTGGAGGTTCTCAGCACTGAAGCTAGAGCTGCTGCAATCTGCAGAATGGCATGAACAGTTTTTGGACAGTACTATGCTTTCATTACGTGACGTCTTAGACAGCTTGAAGACAGTGAGACAGTATACGGTCACTTGTGGAAGCCTCTGTCTGCTCTGTGGCCTGAAGCCTTGCCACTGGTACTGCAGTGTCCTTGCAGAACAAAGACCCTCTCTCTTTCCCTACTTGTCATCCGCCCTTGCGTAGGCAAAAGCAAAGCAAATCTGTGGCTCCCCGTGTCTTAGTCTCATCGTTGAAATTACTGAATGCCCGCCTCCTCTTGTCTCTTCTCCATAAATTCATTGTGTGTCCCTTGCATTGAGTAGGTAACACATCTCCCGGCATGGTATGTTGTCATCTTCAGGTCTCCTACAGCGGAAACCTCCTCCGACAATCGAAAGAGCAACCAAGCCAAACCAGTTGACGAAAACAACTTCCTTTAGCAAATACATACATACATACATACATACATACATACATACATACATGTTTGTATACGGGTACAGCTATGTATATAATATGGGAGTATGTATATATGCATGTGTATATACATATATACATATACATATGTCCAAACGCGTTTCCGAAAAGGAATTTTGTGGTTTTGGAGCATTGGCCGTGTTGAAGAGCGCTTGTAAGAATAAGCCAAGCTGGAATAGAACATCACGACGGTGTTTCCATACGGCCGTTTCATCAGGGGTCGTTTCTCGAGTTTTCGGCGCGTCAACCGTTCCAACACCTGAATTCAGGTCAAGCAGAAATGGTTTCTCTACGTTTTTCGGGTGGAATAATTTCTGTCGCCTTTCGACTGAGTTGAGCTTCTAGCAATTGCACATCTGCACGGGGTCTCCCCAACAAGTGCAACTGTCTGCCTTTTTGGGGCTCCTCGACAGTTCCCACATCACCTGAAAACCTCGAAGCTCCTAGACTTGCTGCAATGGAGGCAACGTGCAGGTTATCAATCTTGACATTCCCAACTTCTGAACCTCAACCTTTTTTGGATTTTCTCGCTGGTGGATCGAGAGGAAAAGCCCGGAAAGAGGTGCAAGGGGTGCTCGTGCATGTATTGCGGATTTTGCAAATCGATGGAATAAACATCTGTTGGCAATCTGTTGTGCAAGCCACACAGACCCTAAACGTCCACATACATTGTAGTCTCTCGCATCATCCTTACAATCGCGCATGTCTTAAACGAAGTCCGAAAGTATTCACTCATGTAAGCACAATGATTTCAACAAACAACAAATTCAAAATGCTCTTTGTGCTCGGAGTACATAAACGTCTTTTGTGCTGGATTCCCGCTGCCAGATAGGTGGGGCCGCGGCTAGAGATACACATGCCACTCTGCAGCTTAGTGATTTCCACGGGATTCGCACAGAATGGGCATTCCTATGCTGATGTTACTGTAGACTGGCAAGCCTGTGCAAGAACCACTCAGCAGCACACGTTCTCAATTGTGAAGGCACCATGCCCGTATAGAATACACACCTTGCCTTCAGCTTCTCTGTAGTCAACCTGATGCTGGGGCGGCTTTTGATCATGGAGGATGCATGATGAAACGACGGGCAAAGATGCAACATTCTGATTGTTCACCATGATTCCATGGAGAACGAAGCGTAGGCGATATAGCCGCCAAAGTCCTCCTCGCCAGGCCACTCCAGCCTCACAGTACAAGACATATTGCCAAGTCAACCAACAACGATGGGGGACTCTCGAGCTTGCTGCTTCAGAAGCCAACCCCCGGACAGAAAGTCAACTGCATACAGCAGATGAACACAGGAACAGTCCACTAATTGGCATGCACATCCTGGAAAGAAAGCAGGCTTCTGTCTCGACAAGTTGCTCGCGGTATTTGCAGAGGTTTCCAGGCCAAGTGATAACTGCTGAAGCGACGATCAGCTCCTGAAGGCTATCGGTGCCAAATAGCAAGTGAGGCAAAGGCCATGACTGTCAGAACTGTCAGAACTGCATCTTACAAAGACTGAGAAGCCAAGAGACTCCCTCGGCATCCTCGTTATTGGAAGGGAATGTGTGAACGGCATAGCCTTGGAATTGGTGCAGCAACTTTGCTGCATCGCCCTCAAGCCCGGACACACACGATGATCCTGTTAAGCAGCCACTGCCATCTGGAAGAGGTCTGATTTTGTCGACATGCGTATGGAACCTGGTCAGCGGTCCTTAGTATTTCGTGCTCTGAAACCAACAAGCCAGTGCGCCCGTCGACTACGTTGGTAATCTCAGCCATTCGCCCAAATTGTGAATCCTGCAGAACAGACGAGACACAGAGGGAACGGATGGCATGGGATGGCTTCTGAGCTGATCAGCAAAGTTCTCCTAGCAGCTTCTCTGAACATCTTCAGAAGCTGATCTCTTGTTGGCCATGTCCTAGGCTGGTGTAGACCGGCAGTTCAGCACTTACCTAGCTGGCTAGCTTTTGAGTGGAGCGTCTTGTATGCGTCGCCCTCAACTTCGGTGGTTGCAGGGGCGTCCGGCAACATGAAGTCAACGTGATAGTTTCCGCTTTCAGTTTGCAGCTTGGTGTACTTGTTGGAAACCACCTTGAACGGGAATTTCCGCTGCAAAACCAGATCACAGGTTTGGGCAAACTGAGTGGCTGGCGATCCAAGAATGCCCGCCGAAAGCCCCTAGTCTTTCCAGGCATATTAGGTCCTCAGGGCAAGAGATGCAGGCAGTTTCGTTAGAGGCCTTGTGAAAGCCGAGGAAGCCACTTTCCGACCGGCTTTCTGGAAGCTGATCATTGTTTGCATACCTCCCAGACCAGCCCCGATGACCTCGAGACGCTCATGGTGGCGACCCTGAACGGCCCTGAAGCGACACCAATACTCCCCGAGCGCGTGGCGACAATCGGATGCGGGTACTGCTGAACAGGTCTCTGAAAGCCTCGCATTCTCTCCGGGCACTGCAAGCTCTCTAGCGTTCTTCACGCAAATGTGCTTCCCGGCAGCTTTTCACTCCAAGTGCAATGACCTTGCTTGCAACCTCGTCCGACAGCCTCTGCTTGACGGGAAATACTCCCACCTGGCAGAGTCACTTCCACGATAATATACAGTACCTTGTGCCGAAGCCCCGCATTGCAAAGTGCCTTCGAAACAAGCTGGATCTTGTCTGGCGGGATCTTCACGAAGCTACCTGAAAGGAACGACCGGCGGTCTCTGCAGACATCACACTGTACGGGTTCGTGTCAAGCCACTGATGATGTCGCAGACCTCCGGAGTGCGTGTGCTGCCTCGGTTTTACAGCTTGCTGGCTCAAGCACAGGACTGAGCTTTCGTGCTGCTTTTCATCAAGGTTCCGGAAGCACCGATCGTGATGCATTCCGTCTCGTCCTTGCCACCAGCAGGTTGCTAAATACTCGAATGCGAAGCCTCACCGTCCTGATTGTAGATCTCCACAACCCTGGTCGCCTTCCCACTTGTCACTACGCCTGTCTCAACCTGACGACAGTTTTTCTTCACTGAGTCGGCCAACGCAGGCCACTCCCTAAAACAGCTTACCTCGCGGCTGCAAACGCACCCGCTCGGCCCAGCCTTCTCCACCTGTGGCTTTCCAACCGGCACCAATCTGTCCTCCATGTGCACCATTGAATGTTGGAAGCCGTCAGGACTACCTCAGGGATCGGCAGTACACCAAACTTGCTCTTCTAGGGCCAATCAATCAGCCAATCAGATACAGATGGCTGGCGCAACCTGTCACGTCTGGCCCCGGGGCTCCAATGGAAGCTCTCACTGAGCTACATCTTCAGCCGAAAGGATCTGTACACAAAGCGGAGACTCAACGCACCTCTTCTGTGAAATTGTGAAGGCTTTAGTCAGTTTCTGTGCAGCAACAAAAGCAAAGAGCCTTTGGGCCACCGCGAACATGTTCTCATTGTGGAGAGTTTGTACCTGAAGTCAAAGATGGCAAGCCTAAGGTCAAATAATGTTGCGACGCTATTTGTAAACTCGGGGTCTTGCCGCCCGTATCGTCTCTTTGACATGCAGCTCCGTGAAAATGTTCATCGATTCCTTGCTCGGCAAGCTGGATGCCCCAGAGCATTCTGTTCAAGCTCCAGAGGTCTGCTTCGACTCAAACTGATTTTCCAGAGCAGGCGCGCCCAGAATGAGACAAGAGGCAAGACAAAATCTCACGACTGCAGGTGATGAATGTCCTGCTGGCAGCCACACAATGTGCAGCTGCATGTTTGCCTTTCTACTATCCGGTGCTACAGATGTCCTGAAGCTGTGCGTACCATGCTCAATATACTGTATCGTGTTGCAGGTATCACTGCGATGAGGAGTGAAAGTGAAGCTCACGCTCAGAAATGAATCAGGTGGAGCCCCACCTCTTACGCGTGATTCGCGCACTGTACAGGTGATGCGTTTGAAATCACTCTGAACCGGCAGCTGTCGCGGCCATGCCAGTGATGCTTTACTCGCCTTCTCCTTGGATGTAGCACAATTCTGCTAAGGCTCGACTCTGACCGGGGAAACCCTGAAAATGTAGCCCTTCGCTTCAAGTCAGAACTCGGGTTGGTTGAGATACTTAGATAGGTTTTCGAGGGTCCGGAATCTTTCCTTTCCAGGTTTGTGCTCATGTGCGATGAAGAGTCGTTCCGATGCACGCCGTCGCTTGCTTCGAGGTTCACCCTTCCGCTTCTCTGCGGTCTCCTCATCTCGCGCAAAAAGACGCAGCAGCTCATACACGCCATTCCATACATCTCTCTGAAACCTACCTGTACAGCGGCTCTTGGGCGCCTCTTCCTCGTCTGGCGCATGCGGGCACCTCGCCGTAAAGTCCGTCAAACGGCAGCACGCGAAGCCCCAACCTCAATCGCCAAGAAATCCTTCGCCAGTTTCAACTCGAAAACTGTGAACGAGCCGAGTGGCGCTTTTCCTCTAGTGTGTACCAGGATCCCCAAATCTGCTCATGCCCGCGCACCGTGACGTCCTGCGTGTCCCGGATCCAAGCGAGAACGGATAAAGAACAGCACACTCTCGTCAAATCTTTTTCGAGTACAAGACCAAAGCCGAAACATACCATCCTCCGGGTACCTCAGGCTTTGCGAAGATATGTCAAGACAGCCGAAACACACATCCACCAAAAGAAGCCAGCGTTGGACAAGTTGCTTTGAAGTGGCCAAGAGCTTCGGTCTGCTGCTGCTGCTGCTCGCTGCTTCGCTTTGGAGATCCGAGGACTCGAGCTTGACTTTGGGGTCACCGCTTGTGGACAAGATCTCGACCTCACGGACTCACGAGGGGGCAGCCCGTTGTGTTTCGTGAGGAGTGTGGGAGTGGCTCCCAACCAAAGTTGAATAGACTACCGTGAAACGCAGTCTCCTGGCCACTTGCAAGTGTAAGCTGTCTCGCGCATGGTCCACCACAACTGAAGGTGCACATGGGTAACTGCCACTAAAGCACGAGTGTCCCTGAACACCGCAATTGTGCTGGAGTATTTGCATGCATCCAACTTCGCCGTGCTGCAAAAGCCTACGAATGCACTGAAGGTTTGTACCAGCAGCTGGTACAAAGTACTATTTGAGGCTCTTGCACTGCCCCGACCCAACACTACCAGGTCCGTGGGAGTTTCACTTCAGCCTGCTTACTTGTTTGACATTTGTGTTGAGAGAGAGAGAGAGAGAGAGAGAGAGGGAGAGAGAGAGAGAGAGAGAGACACAGACACAGACACAGACAGAGACAGAGACAGAGACAGAGACAGAGAGACAGAGAGACAGAGAGACAGAGAGACAGAGAGACAGAGAGACAGAGAGACAGGGAGACAG